TCCCATAGTGCCCAGGGATGTGCAGGTTAGGGTGGATCGGCCGTGCTCAATTGTCCCATAGTGCCCAGGGATGTGCAGGTTAGGGTGGATCGGCCGTGCTCAATTGTCCCATAGTGCCCAGGGATGTGCAGGTTAGGGTGGATCGGCCGTGCTCAATTGTCCCATAGTGCCCAGGGATGTGCAGGTTAGGGTGGATCGGCCATGCTAAATTGTCCCGTAGTGCCCAGGGATGTGCAGGTTAGGGTGGGTTGGCTGTGCTAAACCCCCATCAGTTTTTTTTAAATGAGATTCCTCCCCTCATTTTTCTAAACTCCAGTCAATACAATCCGAACTGACTTGACCACTTCCTGTACGTCAATCCTGCTGCCCCTGGAATCAATTTATTACTCAAAACCATCTCATCTTCTTTTAGGGTCCATCTCCGGGAACTGAAGACTAAGGTCCGAGATTCACTGTCTAGGACCCTTGTCTCCCCCATCCCAGACGCGATCCACGGATACGGTCTCCGCTCCCGCGTTTGAGGGGGCACTGGGATCGTGCTGAGAGAGCAGACGAGCCAGGAGGGGGCCTCCCCAAAGCAGCGAGGGGATCGACTCGATCGGAAATCCCTTCCCTTGGTCCAACCAGGAGAAATTTCGGCCCAGGTCAGGAACCAGACATCCAAAGGTGGAAGAGAATCCAGACTCCACTTACCCAGGCAGTGTATTCCACAACAGTAACCACTCTCGTAGGATGGAAAACGCTTCCCGTCATATCACCCTTGTTCTGTTTGCAAAATTAGGAGCGAGCAGCATAGAGTAGATCGGGAGAAGCTGTTCCCACTCGCAAAAGGAACAAGAACAAGAGGTTTAGAGCGACGTCAGGGGATTGGAGGGTTTAAGCGATAGGGAAGACAGTGAATAGGCCAGGACTATTTACCCTGGAGCATCAGAGGCTGACCTTATAGAGGTTTATAAAATCATGAGGGGGCAAGGTCTTTTCCCCCCAGGGTAGGGGGAGTCCAAAACTAGAGGGGCATTGGTTTAAGGTGAGAGGGGAAAGATTTAAAAGGGACCCAAGTGGCAACTTTTTCACAAAGAGGGTGGTGAGTGTATGGAACGAGCTGCCAGAGGAAGTGGAGGAGACTGGTACAATTACAACATTTAAAAGGCATCAGGATGGGTACATGGAGAGGAAGGGTTTCGAAGGATGCAGGACAAATGCTGGTAAATGGGACTAGATTAATTTAGGATATCTGGGTCAGCATGGACTGGTTGGACCGAAGGGTCGGTTTCCGTGCTCCATGATTCTAAATAACCACCCAGTACTCTCTCTCCGATGCCATAGAGAGAAATGGTGTGGAGTGGAATGGGGAGAAAGGCAGAAGGTTAGCATGGTCAGTTCAGGCATGATGGACTGAATGGCTTACTTCTGCACCATAACACAACTGTAAACCAGACGGGAGGGGGAGAAAGGAGTAGGAACAGTTTTGCACCCAGGGAGTTGATGTGATCTGGAACGTGTTGAGTGAGAGGGCGTTGGGAAACAGATGCAGGAACGTTCTAAAATGGAGTAACGAGATACGTATGGACAGGGTACGAGGAAAAAGAAATGGGAAGATGGGTGCGAGGAGGTGAGGGCAGGCAGGAGGAATGGTGAATGGGTTTGGAGTGAACACAAGCATGATGGGTCAAATGGTCTCCTCCTGCAGTGTATTATTTTCTGAAAGTTTGGGGAATTGAGGGGGAAAGGAGCTGTTAGCTGTGGCCAACACCTCACTGTAAATCTTGAATGCCATTGCTGGAACGTAGTGTGATAGACAGTAGGTGAGAGACACAGGGAGGGGCATTGGGGCTGGAGGAGGTGCCAGAGATACTTGGGGGGGGGGGGGGGGGTTCGAGGAGGCTAGAGATAGGAAGTGGTATAGGGGTTTGAAGGAGGGACCAGGGGCTGAGTTGGCCAATGTTGAGGTAGAAATAGTGACACCTCAGACACCTAGTTAGATGCTCAACCCTTGGTTACTGTGACCATCAGATTATGGAATCTACCATCATACAAGGATCACCATTGGAGCTCAGTTCAGAGGTTTGCTTTCTCTTGACAACTGGAGTATTGCCTGGAAAGTAACATGTTCTCCCTCTTTTTTTTCCTTCCCTTCCCGACCGACTCTCTTTCTCACCCCCCAGGAGGCATCCTTTGGAAACTGTCTACACTGCAGTGGGGTGTGGGAATGAAAGGTCAGATGTTCAGCAGATGAAATGGGCCTATGTCCAAAACCCATCTCTATCCGCAATGCAGCAGGAGGGAGCGTGATGCCCAGATCCTCCCCCGCCCCCCCCTCCATAGACGACGAGGGTTTTGTGTGGGGCTGGGGGAGAAACGTGGCGGGCAATGGAAAGACCTTTGCCTGGTTGGCCGGTGCCCTTTTCAGGTTGTGCTACTGTGTGTATAAAGAAGGCAGTGCAATATTAAAAGGGCATCGGACGGTGCGAGATTGAACTGCCCAACCCCTAGCGAGGGGATCGTTTAGTGACCAGCCCCGTTTCCCCCAGGCCACTGCTCCCTTCAGGATGATCATTCCCAATTGGCCTCCACAGTAGGTAGGCAGGTGTGGCCTTAGGGAAACGGTTATTGACCCTTCAGTTTTAAGGGTACAATTTTTTAAAAAAAAAATGTACCTGCCCGTGAGGACCATGACAAAAATTTACCTTTGAGATCTCTGAACTGGTGAAGTGATCGAAGCCTCTTCCTTTAGGCCTAGACAGAGATTTCTGAACAGGGAAGAGGTAAAAGCCTCATTTTAGGCCCAGACCACGATCTCTGACCTGGGGCCGGTTGTAAGAGCCTCTTTCTGTAGGCCAAGACGGTGATCTCTGACCTCGGGGTGGGGGAAGGAAGTGCGGTAGGAGCCTCTTCCTGTAGGCCCAGACTGTGATCTCTGACCTGGGTGGGTGGTTAGGAGCTTCTTCCTGCAGGCCCAGGCCACGATCCCTGAACAGGGGGATGAAGTAAGAGCCTGTTCCTCTAGGCCCAGACCGGTGATCTCTGAACAGGAGGAAGGGGTAGGTTCCTTTTCCTGTAGGCACAGACGGTGATCTCTAACCTGGGGAGGGGGAAGAGACAGAGAGAAAGGGGTAGGAGCCTCTTCCTGTAGGCCCAGACCCCAAATCTCTGAACTGGTAGTGATAGGAGCCTCTTCCTGTGGGCCAAGTGCTCTACCTCTGGACCAGAGACACAAGCCGCTTCATGATGGACCAGGACCACAGCTCATGCCAGGATAATCGGCTGTAGGCCAATTCTAGATCTCCCCGAACGGGGCTCCGGATCCCTCCTTCGTTCCAGGTCTAGTCGACACAGCCAAGCCGCCTGAACGAAGACTCGATTTCCCCTGGAGGCCAAGACCCTATCAATGTTGCCTCTGCTGTTCAGATAGCCACACAGTAGTGCAATGTTGCTTATAGGGTTCTGGATAACAGGAGAATCCAGTGTCAGACAAACAGCAGAAGATGGCAGCAACTCCTTTCATTAAAAAGGCCTTCCTGACGCCTGCTCCCTGCATTCCGCAGTAATTTTCTGATGTGTTTATTTCTCCCCCTGTTAACTGTTGTTAGGGCATCAGGACAAAAGCATTCAGCTCCATCGTCATTCGTAGACCTACCAGTTGGAAACTTATTCATAGAATGAGGCTCAACATTTCTGTGACAGCTGTTTAGAAGAGGAATCCAGTTAGTCCCACACTGCCCTGCTCTTTTATTTCATTACAGGGTTAGATACAGAGTGAAGCTCCCTCTATACTGTCCCCCCATCAAACACTCCCCAGGACAGGGACAGCACGGGGTTAGATACAGAGTAAAGCTCCTTCTACACTGTCCCCCATCAAACACTCCCAGGACAGGGACAGCACAGGGTTAGATAGAGACAATAAAGCTGGAATTTTTTTTAAAACTAAGAAGTAAATTTAACTTGAAATTGTCCCCAGACACTCCCAGACCAGGGACAGTTCTGCCTCCTATTTCCCCATCTCCGATGGATCTCCCCCACTCTCTTATCCAGTGATTCTCATTTGATAAGTCCCTATTGAATCTGCTTCCTGCTGTGCTTCCACATTTCAGACCACAACAAAAACCTGTAGCACCAAAAAAAAACAAAAAATAAATTTCTCCTCATCTTTCCTCCCTCTAGACCCCAGTCTTTTTTTTTGCCAGGTCTCCTTCCTGTTCCCTCAATGTTTTCCCTTATTAAAATTGATTGAAAAACCCTTCATCAGTGTTGCATAGAGTGCTCGATGTTGACACTGGGTATAAAGTGGGAGCAGACACACTGTCAGGGTAATGTAGAGGGAGCTCTACACTGTATCTAATCCCGTGCTGTCCTTGCCCTGGGAGCACTCGATGCTAACCGTGGAAACGATTCTATGAATATTACCAGAAATACAGTGAATGTTTAAATTTAAAAAAAATTTATTGTACAAAGGAAAATTAAATTAAAAAAAAAACATTTAGACAAACCCACCATCGGGGGCACTTCAGGTCAGTACGTGTCCTGTTCTCATCTCAGCTTGCAGTCCCCCCTCTCTCTCTCTACATTCCCCTCCCTGTGGGGTCCAGACATTTTCCTGTTGGACCCAGACACTTGCTCCATATAACACACCCCCCACCCCTTCCCTCCACCAGCACTGGTCCAACAGGTCAGTACCTCTCTCTCTCTCTCTCTCTCTCTCTCTCTATCTCTCTCTCCCCCCAATCCACAGGGGACAGAGACAGAGGGGAGGGGGTTGGGGGTTTGGTGGGAATCAGACCACCCTGGCTTCTTAACGCATGCTGCTGCTGCTGCTGGGTTGGGAACTGCTCAGTCCTGGGTGCTCCGGGCTATGACGGTTCTACAAAACAGGAAAAAAAATAGAAGAGGTGACAAACAACAAAATCAGGAAATGGGTCTTTCTATTGAGACCTCAGCTGCAGAATTCCGAACATCCCTCCCCTCCTGACCTGAAAGCTGGGCCCCGACTATTCACAGTCACTGAGCACTGCCCCAGCTGTTTGATTGGAGGGGGGGTGGAAGGAACAGCAAAAATCCCTCATCCTACCTCACATCACCAATCCAGTCCAGTCCAGTCCAGTCCAGTCACTCCCTACGACCCTTACTACCTCAAAAGGGTAGAGTGGGAGAGAGTTTCACTCAGTCCAGGCCCGGGATTGAAGGCTCAGCCCTTTTATGTTCCGGTTGGACAAGAAATGGGAAAGAGTTCAGTCCCAGAGTTAAGGCCCAACCCCAAGCCAGCATCCCTCTGTCATGTGCCCCATCAAAAGGTATCCAATCAGCAAATGGAAGGTACCACTCAGTTACCTCCCCCTGCCACCGAACACCCACCCCCCCCACCACCTGGCCCACCCGCCCCACGCCCCCCCCCCCCCCCCCCCCCCACCCCACCCCCGGCCCCGGCTGACCAGCCCCATGTCCTCCACTTCCACTCCCACTCCCTCACCCCAACTCCCTTCCCGACCCCCGTCACTGGCTGACCAGCCCCATGTCCTCCACTCCCAC